TCAATCTGTCCCGTGACTGTTAGGCTATAAAACGCGATAAATTCTTTGTAACAGTTTTATTTAAACGTGTACTATTCAAGAAATTATTATATTAGTCTCTGTTCTTTCTTCTTTCTCCTGCCTTTATCCCACCTAGGTGGGGTCGGTCCAACATGTGAATGTTGGCTAGGTTTTTTACGACCGCTCGCCTGCCTGACGTCACCTCTCCTCGGGAACCAGATCAGGAACAATTTTCTGTGCCTCGCACAAGTACTTGTCCCATGTGGAAACAGCCCACGACCCGCAGCTACGAGTTCATGGGTTTGCAAATATGCTATCGGGTACATTGGGTTTCTCTAAATAAAATAATTAAAAAAAAAACTCAGACCTCAGGACATGTCCACGTTTCAGTTATTACATCGGTCCTTCTCTCTTAGCCACAATTTTTCTTTGGTGTAGGATTCAGCTTGCAATGGCTGAAGGTTCCGCCATGAATGGGCATGCTTGTCTGGGGAATTACCGAGGCTCCACGGAAAACCAAGTTAAGTTAACGTTGAAGACGTTAAGTTAAAGTATCATACTTCTGCGTCTAATCAGGCAACGGGTTCCCACGCTCTAAAAGAATGACAACGCAACTGCAAACTCTCGGGTATTGTTCGAAATGGACACCACAATGAAAGGTAATCACTGGACATCAGGTGAACCGTCTGCGCGTTTACTATGTCAAAAATCCCGTTTGCTATTTACAATAAAAAAATCTCAGTCATGCTATATTTTCGCAAAGTACTGTGACCAGTTACCAAACGATACTATAATAATGTGTAAATAAGTAGGTATTTATCAATGAGGTATTATTTTGCATTTTGTTTTTAATTATAATGTTTTTCAGTCTACTTCACTAATATTTAATATAAGCCATAATATTTTTGTAAAAAAAATATTTCGTCGTTAGCGACACAAGAGGATCAAGAGTTAAGAAAGTTGTAGGGCGTGCCGACTAAACACACCTTTGAGAAATAATATACATTTTTTTCTTTTAAGATGAAAAATATTGCCATTACTTTAGGATAACATTATCCTGTGATGTGTGGACATTTTACAAACATAAATTTCACGTGGAAAAACACCCAGATGTGAAACAACTATCTGTGGCTCACACAAATTGTTCCGTGTGGAGATCGAACCCACGACTCCCGCCGCCGAAGCTAATACCTTGGCAACTCCGCCACAGAATCTTTAATATATTATAGAGATCAAGAATATATTTCCAGAATTCTTATCAGATTCTGTTGGAAATGACAGACATAAATAAAAATCTTCAATTACACAAGTGTCTACCACTTATATGAAGAACATGTAACAAAATGTCTAAATCTTATTTTGAACCTTCTTTTGTTGCGTCCTTGTACCTACCTACTCTTTTTTTTCCTTGTATTATTTTATTGGGCGGCGAGCCATTGTTTTAGTTTTTCATTTTCATTATTCATCTCGCGCACATAAGTGCAAGGTCGAACTAAAACCGTCTCGTCGAAACGGATTCAGTTCAAAACCGTTCGTTGTAATAATTTAACTCGCTGTAATATCGATATTTGGCCAGTTCTCGTATGACGTAACGAGTTTAATCGAGAGTACTGAACCTTTGGAGGTTTTTTACATAACGCGTAACAAAGCATAATTGTAAGAACTCCGCCCTGTAGCTAATCGTATTATGCTCTGTTACTAACAAGATTGCTCTTAAAAACTCTCATATCTCTTAACACTTATGGGACTCTCTGATAGCTCTAACTCGCCACAAAGGTTCAAAGTCAAACCCGCTTTTCGCCATCTGTGGGACAATGAACGGATAAGTAAACTAAAGCGCTCCTTTGGCTTTTGTACAACAACACCATACTGAAGTTCCTCCATGCATCATACAATCCATATGTTAAAAACAGAATAATGTTATAGAATATATTTTATACAGCGTGTCTTTACCATCGCGACAATAAATGAACATACGTCTAACGCTACTTGCCAATAATCATAAAAAAATATTAACGTTAAACAAAATCCATAATTAAAAAAAAATATTTTTCAAACAAACTAATTAAGTAAAAAAGAAACAAAATTTGTAACGTCCTATACAACTCGTGTCACAGCGTCGTATTACAAGCCTCTCCTTCTAACAGTATGTTTATTCTCTTTTAAATTCATTCAACCCATTCATATGCTTTTCGACCTTTACAAATGAACTTTACGTTACGCTTTTATAGGTAAGGGTGTTCTAAAATTCTTTGTTTTGGAAAATTTAATAACTTTGTAAATATTGATGTTTAAAGAATTTAAATATTTAATACAACTTTAAAAAGTAATACCCTATATGTGTGTTCATTTATTGTCGCGATGGTAACGACACGCTGTATAACATATACAGCGTGTCTTACTTAGACCCAGGAGAGGCGGAAGCAGTAACTTACGTCGACCCACGCCTAAATACCTCTTCTTTATGCAGCGTGTCGTTACCATAGCGACAATAAATGAACACGCATATAGGGGATAACTTTTTAAAGTTGTATTAAACATTTAAATTCTTTAAACATCAATATTTACAGAGTTATTAAATTTTCCAAAACAAAGAATTTTAGAACACCCTTACCTGTAAAAGCGTAACGTAAAGTTCATTTGTAAAGGTCACAAAGCATATGAATGGGTTGAATGAATTTAAAAGAGACAAAACATACTGTTAGAAGGAGAGGCTTGTAATGCGACACTGTGGCGCGAGTTGTATAGGAAGTTACAAATTTTGTTTCTTTAGTACTTAATTAGTTTGTTTGAAAAACATTTTTTTTTTAATTATGGATTTTGTTTAACGTTAATATTTTTTTATGATTATTGGCAAGTAGCGTTAGACGTGTGTTCATTTATTGCCGCGATGGTAACGACACGCTGTATACGTTTTCATGGTTATCATCTTTTATTTTAATTTTTTGCGCTATTAAGATAGTAATCTATTCATTGCAAAGAATGGGGTAATGTATTGTAAAGAAGTACTTTATAAAAACAACAATTTTCCGACATACGCCTCGTAAAATAATTTTTATGGCCGTGACGTTTAAAAAGAATAATGTTAAGTATGTATTTTCTTACTTATATTTTAATCATTTGTGCTTTAAACATGGTAAACATCACAAAGAATGGAGTGATGTTTTTGAAAAGCATTATATTATAAAAACAACCATATTTCAACATAAACCTCGCAGATTAATTTTAAATGTAACGGATTTTGAATGATATATCTGCTATATACTATGAAAACCCGAGAGAACTCGACCAAAAACATTATTATTCGAACAATTATGAGCAAACAAATGACTTATGCTGTTGTATTTGTGTTCATTAGTCATTACCCGGTTATTTCGAGTCAGTTAGTACATGTGCGAACGCAATTATCAAGTAGAAAGGCATGCGCGGCCGACCTTGCACGGGGACACACCTGAACAAATTATTTTTCGACCTCCACAATTGCCTGCTACAGTTACCACCATGGCTATAATGTAATAGTAAACTATAGTAATCGATAGCGGCTGTTTTTTTGTCGCGTTTACGAATCCTAGTAAGTGTCTAATTTTTCCGAAAATGCAATTCAACAAAGAATGAACTATTCGACGCAATAGTCTTCGAAACTTAGAGCTGAAAATATTTAAAGACTGTATTTGTGTCATCGCCATCTACATTATACACATGATAATTATGCTGCCGGGTTCATCATATGTTACAGTTGGCGTGATAAGCCATGGTTAGCGAGACTTTTCTGCGAACGATAAATCTTAGAATATTGTTTCAAAATGTTAATATTAATGAAAATCCAGTATGAAAAGTAAAAAACTTTTGAAAAGACTTTTTAAGTAGGTAGATGAATTTCACAAGGGCGGACATTTACTGCGGGTAGCACAAACACTTGTCCCGTGGGAATCGAACCTACGGTCCGTAGCGACGAAGCCAATAGCAACTCCGTCGACCGAATCATGAGAAAAACTATTAAATAAGATTAAAGAAGAACACGCCGGATATGGGTACACAATAAAAAAAATATAAAGCCTACATTCGAGTTGGTTCTGAGAGTAGGTTCCGCGTGTACTGAGTTAACTTATTTTTAACCAAACGTACAGTAGAACATATACATATATATACGCAATACTAGTTTTAAACGATTTATTACATAATATAATTTATGAAGTTATTCTTCTCTCTTCTAGAAAAATTATGAAACTAAAGTTTTATGATGCGCAACACCTAAAAGCGTCACCATTCATGGTGTTAGCATTGTTCACAAAACTGTGAAATTTACCTATAAATCCAAGTTATTTAATTAAACGGTTATGAATTGCATTTAACGTCATTTATTTCTAAATTATCTAAAATATCTAGTTATGACATTAACGTGTCGCGATTGATTGACCGGTTGATTTTAATATCTAAAGTCAAGTAACATACTTAGAAGCGATCGTAATTTCAAATATAATTAAAAGTGATTGGTCGTAAACACCTCAAGGTTAAATGATTTATTACGCCACAGCTAAAGCCAAATTATCTTTTTAATGAGGGTATAGGAAGCAATCGATACCGTGAACATTTTAACCCTCCACTTTACTGTGACAAGAAACACAGCTTAAAAAATCTATTTCATGTGCAGTTTCTTCCTTTTCGTCTTTATATATGTTCAATTTGTATATTCTATTCTATTGTAGTAAAAATGGAACCTTCTTTTATGTCAATATACTCATTCGTCTGCAGGTATTTCATTATGAGTATCACGTTCGTGGGATATAAACAATTTTTCATAAATTAAAATTACTTTTCGTTTCGTTCGGTTAGGTTTGTCACCAAATGAAACGCGATAGTGTTATATTTCCACTTTACGCCGGTCTCCCGTGGTATTCCCCAATCGAGTCTACCCATTGGTGCATGTAGAAGGTGTTGCGGTTATGACAGTTAAGCTGTGGAAGCAAAGCATGTAATGGACTTGTGTATTTTGTCCCCAGCACCAAGATGAGGGGCTCGCGACTCCTCATCATCCTGCAACTGGTCTACATAACCAACTGCATGGACCAGCTGCACATCGTGTACGAGTGGAAACAGCTGGACTTCCAGTTCCCGACGCCCGAGGATCGACAGCAGGCGGTGGAGAGCGGCGCCTTCGTGCCGGAGAACTGCATGCCGATGGGGGTGGAGGTATATGACGGGAGGCTGTTCATCACCGTGCCTAGGTGGCGCTCTGGTGTACCGGCTAGCCTGGCCTACATCAACCTAAAAGGTGACCACACAAACCCTAGCTGATTGACTTGCACTGGCAAGTTTCCCTTAACCTTTCCTCATTGTTTTATGGGAAAAAAGCGGCAGACGAGCAGGAGGCTCACCTGATGGTAAGTGATCACCGCCGCCGATGAACATCTGCAACACCAGAGGGCTTATAAATGCGTTGCCGGCCTTTTAGGAAAGAGCATGCTCTTGAAGGTTCCCAGGTCGTAACGGTTCGGGAAGACCGCCGGCGGCAGCTGGTTCCACAGAGTGGTTGTGCGAGGCAGGAAATGCCTTTCATCATATTTGTAATACGTTGGGATTGTGGCGTTTGTAAGTAAATTTTGCTGGTACGTGTTACGCGACTGACATTTGATTAATTTAATTAAAGCTTTTTTAAACTGGCTTTCGGATGTAGCTGAACTTGACCCTGGATAGTGTAAAAGGTGACCTCACCAGCTCTAGCTAAGTCATTGCACTCCCAATTTCCCTTAACCTTTCCTCATATTTGTGATACGTTGGGATTTTAGGGTTTGAAAGTGAGTTGGGTTGCTACGTGTTATAAACAAATTTAAAGCTTTTTTAAAGTGACTCGACTTTTGCTGAATTTCTCTCAGCACTCTCACATGTTTAATGGCAATATTCAAAATAACAAGTTGTTAGCCATGAACATGCCTCGAGCTTGTAGTAAATCAGGATCTATCCCTTCGTTAAGAAATCGGTCGATTGATAAATGGACAGGTGAACTCGTAATATTTTTGCGCCTCTCATATTATCAATACGTAAAACTATGTTTCTCGAGATTCCTCTAGAATACACGTATTGGGTCATTTTGTTTTGCGTAAATCCGTACGGTGTTTGAGCACGATATGCACAGAATCTGACGTAGCTGGTGATATTTCGTTATTTTGCCGACGATGAATTTATTTTAACATCCTGTGAACGAAAGCGATCATTACAACTTCTTCATCATGATCATTTCAGCCTGTTCGAGTCCACTGCTGAACACAGGCCTCCCCCACAGACTGCCACGAAGCACTATCCTGAGCCACCTGCATCCATCGACTTCCCGCACACTTGCACATTTCATTTACAACTTAAAGAGCGTTTATTAACCAAGGATTTCTTTTTGCATTCTAGATAACTCGACGATGTCCCCGAAGCTGATGCCGTACCCGAATTGGGCGGCGCACACTCCAGGCGCTGATGGCAAGTCCGAGATCGTCTCACCGTTCAGGGTGCGCGCAGACCGCTGCGGCCGCCTGTGGGTCTTGGACAGCGGGAAGACCGACAGCCTGGGCAACGGCACCGTGAAATACCCACCGGCGCTGCTGATCTACGACCTGAAGACTGACCGGCTGCTCAGAACTTACGTCCTACCCAAGGAGCAGGTGAAAGAGGACTCGGGTTTCGCGACGATAGCGGTGGAGGACCGCGACTGCGAAGACACCTACGTCTACTCCGGCGACGTAGGGAAGGCCGGCGTCGTGGTCTACTCGTGGGCGAAGAACAGCAGCTGGCGCATCAGCCACCACTACTTCCACCCGGACCCGCTCGCGTGCGACTTCAGCGTGAAGGGGCACAACTTCAGCTGGACCGACGCAATCTTTGGCCTGGGGCTCTCCGGACCAAACGCAGACAACTACAGCACGCTCTACTTCCACCCGATGGCCAGCTACAACGAGTTCTCTGTGTCCACCGAGTACTTGAGGAACCAGTCGGTGGCCGATGGCAACTTCGACGCGTTCAAGCTGCTCGGCAGCAGAGGTCCCAATGCCCAGTCAAGCGTTTCCTTCGTCGACCCCAAGACGGGGGTCCTGTTCTACTCCCTGGTCAACCTGAACGCGGTCGCCTGCTGGAGGACGACCAACAAGGCCTACGACATGAAGAACCAGGGCCGCATCTACATGAACGACGAGACGATGGTGTATCCGACCGACATCAAAGTGGACTACGACAACAACCTATGGGTCCTCTCGAACCGCATGCCGGTCTGGATGTACGGCAAGCTGGACCCCAACGAGGTTAACTACAGGGTGTTCTCCGCGCCCGTTCTGGACGCGATCAGCCACACGGCCTGCGACGTCACTCCCAGGTCGGACATCCTCGACAAGTTCGTCAATAAGATAAAGAACGTCACCAACAAAATCGCCACGAAAATCAACCCCAACTCTGCCGTAGCGATTTCGTCGTACTCATTGCTTACTACGCTGATCTTGAGTTGGATTATCGCTTTAATCGTTTCTTATTAGTTCTTGTTGTAATTGAGGTTTCCCAGTGACAGATTGTTGCCGAATATTCATCTTTTACCTTAAACATCGTGAACACTGTAAAAAACCGTTTTTTTTTATGTAAAATATCGTCATTATATCGTTAAAACTGATTATATCCCAGTCAGTGTTGCCTTATCTATTAAAAAAGAAATATGGCGCTCGATTTGGTCAAGAATCGTAAAAATTGGGAAATGTTTTTGACTGTTATTCTATTGTCTTCGTGTCCGGTACAACCGGTGCTTTTATATGTACACGTTACCGCTTTATTTATTGTGATTTTATGAAATAAGTATTCCATAGGATAGACTGTACTTATCATATGTTTGTGCCTTAAAGTGATAGTAACATGCAATAAGAGTTAACGCTACTGCTATCTGTAAATATGTTTTATTTATAGCTGTAATAAATGTTACAAGCTTTTGTCGAATTTCATTTCTCTGTAAAACTTTCTATAGTTTAACTTTATAATGTCTTTGCATACAAGAAAATAAGAACTCATGGATAACGAGAACCCACGATGTTAATATTATCATATTGGTTGTATCTTTTGAGGGAGAAATTGTCACCTACGGGTCTTCGGGATTAGGTGCTGCCGTGCCTTTGATACCCATTGGCTCTATTAATAGTGGGATCTTCTTCTTTATTTTTTACAATAAAATTGTGTTGAATAATTAATGCAAAAAAATAAAATTTAAATGGTTCACAATTAAAATTACCATTCTATAAAATTGCAATAAAAATTGTATCTCATCAGATATAAATAAAGCATTACATTCACAAAAATGATAATAAAAATACTAGTGATAGTTCGTAAAAAAAAATGGTTACAAATTTAAAACGTCATTAAAAGTTTTTAAACATTCAAAGTTATTTAATTGCATTATCGTCTAGAAACTCGTTGACACTATTCTAACATTTTTCCAATAAGATTTTTTTCGAGTATTTTTGAAACTACTCTTGAATAGCGTAGTTTTTAAATCAATAGGTATCTATAATGTGTGAGATAGACGATTGATCTTTAGAATAGTGTCTAGTCATCACCATACATGATTGTATTATGAAGGAATATCGAAAACGACCTTGGAACGCGGGTATACCTTACGCACGCTTTATGTTGGTTTCGCAGTTAGAGTAGAACTATTTGGTTAGGTGAGTGAGCAATAATGTGTATGAATAGAGATCGGGTGCGATCTCTGGTGAGTACGGAATACTCACGTCCCCTTTCTCGACCGGGTCGTATACTAAGAAATATGCACTGGGCTATGAATAAAATAGCAATAATTTTGAATACATTATATTAGCGTTACATAAAATGAATGTGATAATAATATGCTTCAACAAATTCGACTCTGATTCTTAAAATGAAGATACACACACTTATCAATTATTATAAAACACTTTTATGGAACCTCATATTGTATCTGAGCTGCTGTTGAATTACTGGATAAAACATTTAAAATGTACCATATTTCTTAGCATACTTTTACAGTGTCAATTTGTGTTACTTTTCTCTTAATGATTATAACGTTTAAAAAATTTCTTATTAGCGCCATCTGTTTGTAGTTAGACGCACAATTTTGTTTAGACTTAGATTTATGATAACACGAACAATTATAGATGGCGTTAGCAAATTATAAATTGATTTAAAACAAAACAGATGGCGCTTATACGTAGAATATGGAGTAGCTTTTGCTATTTTTGGGTCTTCTAGTTCAATATTTCCCATTGACCGATTTAGCTCTACTATACATGACCATGTTTATGTGTATATTTATAATACCATGTTGTATATAGAACGGCCATTCAGGCAATAATTATATTTCAATAGTGTTATATCAAGCATAAGAGAACATCCTTGAATAGTCGAATGATTTCCAAGGTTGGTGTTTACATTTAAACGGGCAGCCGAAATATCGATAGGCCTGATTATTATCATTGTATTAATGAATGAAATAGGTATTATTCATGCAATAAATAGAATGTAAGCCAGGCTAAGAAAAGGGTCATAATTCTTGAGAAAATAATTGCATATGGTTGAAGAAATAGGTATTGATGGACTATTTCGTTTAAGAAATACATTTTGACAGCTCTTTGGATAAACTTAGGCATGTGCAACAAGAAATTGTTACCAGAAATAGAATCCTTAGAAGATCTGAGATAGAATCACGATTCTGTAATACATTATTTTTTTAGCAACAGCGGTGGCGGATTGACAAATTTTCCGCCAATATGCTGTTCAGTCTGCCCCCCCCCCCCCCCCTGACATCTGAAATTAGATATGTTGTAAATGTTGTTATTTTTTTTAATCGTATTTACAGTTTACAAATAATAAGAACAGTATCTCTATTAAATTTTCTGTTAACAATCCGGTTAATAAAGACAATAAAATGAATCAAGTTATGAAAATCTTACATTACGTTAAGTTTCAAGAGTCGTTTTCATATATAATGTTGTTTTTCTTAATTTCTGTAAGACAAACATTTTTGGGCCAAATTTGCCGACCCAGGCTACTAATTTGCCTGCTGGTAAATTCAATTAGCAACAGACTAAATACATACTGCTATGATGAGCTTTACACTCATTTTATATCTTTTTTAATTCTTGATCTTTCATTGTCGGCTGTGCTTTCGAAACGACAACAAACGTTAATTTTATTACGAGGTTCTCTCAAATATATGGGTAGCTTTTAGCTGCCCAATAACGCTTATCGACATATATCGGGCGGCAGATAATTTGTAATTGCTTGAACATAAATTATGTAACATTATTATATTCACTCGGATATAACACGGTTTAACGCGAGCATTCATAAATTTATTACCGTAGAAGTTGAACGTTTGAAAGAGATTATGGAAATATTTAAACGGGTAGATCTGTTGAAATAAAGAAGCGAAATGACGTTAATAATCGACGAAGACGTTAGTGTGGATGTAGTATCTTTACAGATCTTCCGATAAATTCCGATAAATTTTGACTTTGTCGTTGATTTTATTTCTTTTTCAGGCTGAAAAGGAACTGAGGACGTTTAAGGCGAAATGTTTCCGATGCTTGAGGGGCCCAAATCTGATGAAGACCCTGGTGGTTGCTGGGTGCGTCGCTATCGTCGTCCAACAGGTGACCGCATATTACTTAAGCAAGACTTTCTTTCAATTTAATGAACATAAGTGGTTGGCACACATAGGCGCTCGCTTTCAATTCGATATACTCGATCAACTGAAGTTCAAGTTCTGGCACCAATGAAATTGATTATTTTGGGTGCTGACTTAACGTGCTCAGTGGTGATGGAAAACATCGTGAGGAAACCTGCATTTTTTCGAAATATTAAAAAGAAATAGTAAGAAGATGACTCGGTGGCTCGTCTGTGGGTCATACAAATACTTTTCCAGACGGGACTAGTATTTATGTGACCCACATTAATAATAATGTAATGATAATTGTTCCGGATCTGGATGTTTGTTTCTCAAGGAGGGTTGACGTCAGGCAGGCGGCCGATCGTAAAATACATATCCAAAACCGCTTACAACATGATTCACATATACATAAGGGAAGGAGGATGATGATGTGAAGTCTGCCAATCAGCGGTGGGGTCGCGTGGTGGACAAGGGCCTAGTACCCTCTGTACAGACATACATAGGGGCATTTGTGCAGCAGTGGGACACATATAGCTGTTATTTTGCTTATGTGATGTAGTATCCAAACAAAATAGTTAATTTTTGAGGAGAAGAGGTAACCTCAGTGCATGTCGAGTGTATGTAGTAACAGTACGGTCGTTTTCAGAGAATATACTACATATGTAAGTGCTTCTAATACTATGAGTGTGGTGAAGATAATGAGTACTTTTGATTCAATTTTACATAATCATATAAATACAAATAATTTGGAAATTAAAATGAATGTACGTTAGGAACAGTTAATATTAAATATATGTATTAATTGAATTCGATCTCGCATTTTTTTCACTAAAACATCAGTTAAATTGAGTTTTAAAGTGATTTATATATTTTTTGTAGATTTTTTCATGTATTAACTCACTTTTTAGATAAGCGTCTGCGTGAACAAACTGATAGATATACCGATAACTACTTACACCCATTTCGACTTCAACAAGACCGTGCTGTATCCCAGCGTGACCTTCTGCCGTGAGCCGCCGTACAAATACGAAGAGCTGTTGGTGAGTAAGGCCAATAGAAGAAGATCCTGCCATCGGGAAGATTTCTAAATTCCTGTGAGGCTTTTATAAAGGTCAGGTTACAGTACTACATTAAATAAAAACGATCGTCAGATAGGCTTGCGTTGGATCGCTTTTTTATGTCATAACATAGCAAGCGAGCTGGTTCACCTGATGTTAAGTGATAATCGCCGCCCACGGTCATTTGCAACACCCTTAGCACATACGTTGCCATCATTTAATAAAATGCTACTTTAAAAGGCTACCTCACTCAACAGACGAAACGCACAAGCTTACACTTCAAGCCGGTCTTCTGTGAGGTTGTGGCACTAATCTGGACGGAATTGCCCATTCGTGCAACAGCCGAAGCGTTTGCGTGGCACAGTTAAGTACAAATCAACCGTTTCCATTCAAGGACTACGGGCTCTACTCACACCCTCGGTACACATCCGCCTGGATCAACTTCAACTTCTCGGCGGTGAGCTTGGACCGTCTGTGGCAGGAGACCACGTACGACGAAAGCGAGTTCTTCGTTCAATACGGCCTTGAGGGATCGGCGGACAGTAAGAGGACTTTTCTCGTTCTACCCTGATCAAAGACTAGGCACTGATTATTAAATGAAAATTCACAATCAGCACCTTAAGCTAATTTCAATTAAGTTAACTTTGTTAAACAATGAACCAAAAACAAACAATCAATTGGAACGATTTAATATAAAAGAGCAACAAAACTAATTCAAACGATTCGCTTAAGAAATTTACGAATCATGAAAACGTCCAATAAAGTCTCGAGTCTTCAGAAGTTACTGAAGTTGATTTTATTGGCCGCTCTAAACACAATCGCCTTCTGTTCTGTCCTCCTCATCAGTCTGATTTTATCCATTCCTCTTTCTTTGTTCAATCTATCCTTCTTTGGAATGAGCTTCCTCCCAAAATCAGAATGGCTAAGAATCGCCTTGCTTTTAAGAGAATGGCACGGAAATACATTTTGGGAAAGCTGCCAGCAGTTTCATGATATCATCAGATAAAAATATGTATGCGTATTTGTGTATATATTTATGTATATGTATATATTTATAGTACAGTATATATATATATTTATGTATGTAAACTTTTATTTAATTGTATTGTATTATGTATATATTTATGTGTAATTAGTAAAATATTTATATTTTAAATGTTTGTGCACCTACCTCAAAATCTCGGTACCACCCTAAGGTTGACTGGTAGAAAATGCTGACAGCATTAAGTCCGCCTATGTACATAGTTATGTGCATGAAGTCTTAAAATAAAATAAATAAAATAAAACGTGTGAATTGCAGGACAACATAGAGAATCTTTACGTACGTTCACTATCGCCGTGATTGGCCGTGATAGCTCAGTGTCTGGGCGCTCGCCTTTAATTCAATATACTCGAGCAACCTAAGTTCGATCCCCGGTGCCAGCACCAATGAAGTTTTTAACTTAAGTGCTGACTTAAAGGTGAAGGAAATCGTGAGGAAACCTGCATATTTTCGAAATAATAACAAAAAAAATATATTTCGAAGATATGTGAAGTCCGCCAATCCGCATTGGGGCCGCGTGGTGGACTATGCTCTGATACCCTCAGTATAGAGGAGGCTTTTGCCCAGCAGTGAAACATGTATTGGCTGTTACTTTACTATTGATACTCGTTTATAATGCAGGTAAGGTGAATATCCTACTAGAGAGGTAGAGGCTTTGAATGGTGGTTATCATTTCTAAAAACATATGTAGATTATAAAGATGTTAACAGTTTCCTAAATTCTAAAGCCCTAACCGTCTTTGTTCTTTAACAGTGACAGAGCCTATGATCAATAGATATGATGATTTTCTTTCACATGATCATTTCTGTGATTCAGAACGAAGGGCAATTCTTATAAAAGTTGCCACCAGATAATTTTGCATTTAATAGACGGAATACTATTACTTAACATCGATTCTTTTCCATGTGTATTCTGTATCTACCTTTTTTCTACCAGACGTCGCGATAACATCGACCCTGGGCTTCGTCACGGGCCGTTGTTTCACGCTCTCCCCGAAGATCCTGAGCGGCCACGCCTCGAAGGCCTCTGGTTACTCCATCACCTTGCAGCACCGCGCCCTGGACGTATCCACCAGCACCAGCATATACCCGCCAGGGTATCACGTCTTTGTTCACTACACGCGGGAGCCGTATACCGGTTTGTTGTTTGATGATTGCAGATGTCTTGCCACCTTTTAAAGTGGGCCCGGGTTACCTCGTTCACCAGATGAAACGCAGAAGTATAACATTTCCACTTCACGCCGGTCTACCGTGAGGTCGTAGTACTTACCGGATGGATCAGTGAAGGCTGTTGCGTGGTTCTATTACGTTTTACACACGAAAATTGTGAGACGATTATTTGTTCACACCGCTGTGAATCTAATCTGCTATCTTCTGAGATTGATTCGTATTAGCTGGAGACGGTGGGCTTGAGATCGTGGAGATATGGGCCCCAGGTCAGATCTCGGACCCACCTCACTGGATGAAACCACGACCACTATGTTACTCAACTAAACGTGGCACTATAGATATTAATTAAAATCATCTATATTCCTTCATTCATATTATTGGACTATTAGTGATTTTATGAAAGAGATTGCCTGAGATTGACTGTGCCCTGTAAAATTAGTATTCGCTGAAGCTATCCATATCAACTCCCACATAATTTTACTTGTGCATGTAAGAAGTCCGAAATTCAGTTAACTTATAATCACTCATATTGATTCATTGAAATTAATGAAACTCATCTAGAAGTGGAAGTATACAATGGAGGCTTGGTGGACTATATGTACATCAACACAGGCGAAACAATAGACGCGAAACTGACAGTCGATGAATACGTCAAGATATCCAAAGAAGATGACCCTTGCACCTACCTTAGCGATTACAGCGCGAACGACGTAAGTGCTTTGATGTTTTAAAATCTAATAACTAATTCTTAAGAGAGATAGCATGATATCAAAATTTAGACTTTTATAAACCTTTTGACACCTTCTGTACTACCTTCCTTCCTTTTGGTACTAAAGTACCGAAGAAGAATAACCGAAGTTATAGGTGGTTCAGATTTACTAAAGCTAGATTTGATATTTTTTAACGTAATAGGATCTCAGAGTCAGGCCGTTCTTAGTGTGAGTTAAAATCCATGCATCCGTTCTAAGGGGGAGGCCTATGTTCAACAATGGACGTCTTGCATGATGATGACGACAAAGATGTGCATTTGACAAATGTTTATTGTTATTGTTTATTCATCTTCAGTGCACGACTCAGTTCGTCTGGGATCGGGTTGGCAACCAGGTTGGCTGTTCAGGGCCTTGGATGCGAAGCAGCCTGCCGCGTTGCAACAACTACACAGCTATAAGAAACCTCATATCGGCATATATGAAGTAAGATTAAAAAAGGTTTAAGTACGACATCGAAATGATAAGGAATGGAAGGCATTTCCTTAACTTAAGATCACACTTCGCATAATTTCTAATTATTTATCGTTATCTAAGTATTTGATTTTTTGTTTGTTACGATTTAAATCAAAAACTTCTTTAAAAATTCTTTCACCATTAGAAAGCTACACCCAGTAACATAGGCTATATTATATTTGATGTTAAATTAATTATACTTAAGGCTATATTATATTTGCAAGTGTAATCTGAAATGAATTATATTTATATAATGAAAATTAGCCGAGCTTTAACCCAACATAAAACCTTGATTAAAAAACTCCCGTCTTAACTAAGAAACCGTCTCAATATAATTTCTTATCATTTTAAAAGATTTCCGTATATATTGCATTTTCCAGCACGTACAACAACCACGGCTGCGATATGTGCCCGAGGTTTTGCCGATCCTACCTTTACAACGTTTTCGTGACGGACAGACAAAGTTTTTACGCGTGGGACGCTTCGATAAACCTGTGGCATTTTAAAACCGACAGTGTAACCCTGCAGTCCCAGGTAAATTTCAATCTTTCAAAAGCGCAATCAAGGAACGTGATTTTTTGGTCCTAAATTTTATTTAGAATTTGCCTTGATTTTTCTGTTTCTTATAATAGTTTCAGTTCTGACAGTTTAGCAATGCATCTACCAGGCGCATATACATGTACATAACGTAAGATGTTATTTCCATTTATGCAGCCATCAACGCTTAACTTTTTATCGTCAAATGCAAAACAATAAATAATATCATATGATGACCTCAAGGGTCAGCGGGAGATCATGTCAACCATACTTATGACTGCTCCTGGATTGGAAATAAGAGAAACAGACTTGACTATTATTGACCTGCATTTCCCATGTTTAAAAGCTAAAAGGCGAAAAGAGTCTAGAATGGCGTAATATAACAATATTCAATTTATTATATTCGATATTTAAATAAATCATATTAAAATCACCAAGCAAATGTTAACGCTTCTAACAGAATGACATATCGCTTAGATCGCAAATTTGTGGCGGCACGTAGAGTTGAAAAAAGGTTTTGAAATATGTTCGACGGAAGTTAGTTAATATACACGCCGATATAATTAGCCGAACAAAAAAAGTGAGGAATAATGCAGTCTTCTTTCGAAACACAAGCCAGCAATATTGATTTTTAATTTTAGATCGAATTTGACAGAGTTTAGCCGATAGTTGTTTTTCCATTCGTTTGTTTTAATTTTCTACTGATAAAAGTTTATTGTACGGTTTGATGTAGATTTTGCATTCTTACAAAATTCGTAAATTTCAATTAAAAAGTATTTATTTTTTGTTCTGAAGGTTTTATTTGACTACAATTTTTAATTAAACAGAACGCCTCATAAACCGATCCTAGGAACATCGGCAACAGTTCTTTACCGAAATGCTGATAAAAAATATAAAAAATATTTTGTCCCGCAACTTTATTATCTATATCCTGTACCTTAAGAATTGCCAGTTGCCTGGAAGAAATTGCTACCTTAGCAATAAGACCGCCTGTATATACCCTATGTTTCCAGTATTTTGTTTCTATGTATTTCCTTATGTGCATTATTCCTTGTGTAAATATTCTATTCTATTCTATTCTGTTCTATTCTGTTCTATTCCATTCTATCTGGTCATCATTAGAACGGCTGGCAATTGTTGCAGCTGTTCATCCATTTCAACAGCATGATGGTCTCCGTTTACGAGGAGCGTTACAACTATGACTGGAACCTGTTCGTCTCGGACCTGGGTGGGAGCATCGTAAGTGGGATATGGGATTGTTTGAGGTTTTAAACATTCTCCATTTACTTTTTTTATGTGAAAAGTTGCCAAGCGTGCAGACGGCTCACCTGATGTTAAGTGAATAACGCCGCCCATGGAGATCTACTACATCCGAGAGTTCCAGATGCGTTGAAAACCTTTTGAAAATTGCTCTAGCCACCTCACTCACCAGACGAAACGCGAAAGTATTATACTTCCACTTTACGCCGGTCTTATGCGAGGTCGTGGTACTTACCCGGACGAGCCTGCCCATTCGTGCAACAGCCGAGGCTGCTGCGTGGCCCTACCACCATTAAACGTTTTTTAGTGTTCCGTACCCAAAGGCTAAAACGGGACCCTATTACTAAGACTCCTCCTTCTTTCTGTCTGCCTGTCCGTCTGTCACCAGACTGTATCTCATGAAAATAAAATTTTCACACATGACGTATTTCTGTTGCCACTATAACAAAAAATACAGAATACAAAACGATTTAAGTGTGGCCACCATACAACAGACTTGATTTTTAGATAATTGTACGGAGCCGTCGTGCGCGTGTCCTGACTCGCACTTGGGCGGTTTTTGCATTGATACGAAAAACATTGCCCTTAATTTAGAATATAACACTATCCCGTGTTCTAAGGACATTCCACATAACAATTCAATTTCACGTGGACAAACACCCGAAACAATTATAAGTTGGTGACACAAATCACACAAATAATTGTCTCGAGTTGGAACCGAACCCACGACCGAACCCAAAAAAAACCTTTGTAACTGTTTCACGGAGTCATCAAACTCACTTATTATGAGTTTGTACTTAAAATGATAACTTCGATGGTTCGGAAAGAAATTATCATTCCGTTTTCAATCGGCAATTCCCTCAAGATGTTCGAGCAGCCCAGCGGCTGAGTACAAAATCTCTTTGAAAATTCAAATTTTCTCCTATACGCTACATGTTAGGGATCGAGTTTCTTCATTTCTTTAACTTTCTAATTACAATCTTTTATCATTATTTCAAATTTAATTTTAATTTTAATTTAATTATTATTTACATTTAAAAAAATCAATAAAATAAAATATCATGCTTCTAAAGACCTGATCTTGAATCGATTTAATTCAAACCGGAATCTCTTCGGTTCTACTACTATATAGGCTATCTAACTAAATACTTTGTGGTATCTGAATGACAAAGAAAAGAATAAAAAAAATATATTTGAACCATCGCCAAACACTTCATTTATATCGTCTCTGAGCTTTCTCAACGATAGGTGGTCATAGATATTTGAAATTTAAATCAAAGTAATACTCAGGAAAACGATATCACTAAAGGAGAGTTCGATGCGGGAACTTTGGCTTGATGCCAAAACGTTCGGAGTAATCAATGGTAACCATCGAAATATTTACCTTCCGCGTGAATAAGCGGGGAGTGGAGCCCGTAAATAAATTGCATTCGATCGCTGTTCGCCAAAAGACGTCAGCATTACCGCCGGCTCGCCCACTGCGCGCCTGAACGCTGTAGTTCGAAATATTATGCGAAACCGTATGTTTTGCAGCACTGGGAGGAATAAAGTGTAAGCTCAAATCAAGCCTCGTACTGGTTGCTTCGTACTGGCCATAGCAGTGTAGGACCCACTAGCTGTAATGACGATCTATGCAAATGTGCGGGAAGTCGATGGATGCAGGTGGCTCAGGATCGTGCTTCGTGGCAGTTAATGGGGGAGGGCTATGGTCAACAGTGGATTCAAACAGGCTGAAATTATGATGATGAAATCAAGTAAAAGTCAATTTATAGGACTTATAGGCCATGGCGGCTGCGCTAAATGGGCAACTTTTGTTCTTAGAATGAGAGTAATTCTGATTGTGTATAAAACTTCATAGAAAAAGATCAGTGCAAGCGTAAATTAGTTTCCATTGGTGTTAAAATTTACAATATAGCCTTTATTTTATTAAAAAAGAATACGGGCATGTTAGCGAGTTAACCCTCATGGCTTAGTGCGTTCACACTTCGCTAAATTATCTTCTGTGCTCTGATGGTCTGCGTAACCCAGATGAATGCAAGCTGTAATTTCAGCAAGACCAGCAGACCTTGCTTATTAATTTACAAAATACGGAGATTCATTCTGATCGGAATGATCAATTAGAAAAGTTTAACCATCCTTTTGGCAACTGATTTGACAAGCTATTTTTTCTATTAGTGTAGAATAACATGGCTACGGCGTAGCGGAATTACTTTTAAAATTTGGCAACTTCATGTCACCGTCAACACTTGCGTCAAATTGATTCTTCATAAACTTTTCCAACGGTAGATTGCTTTTATTTGGTCATGCATTTAATTGCATCCGTTTCCGGTTTGAGACCGATCCAATAGTGGTACTGAAATAGATTGGCAGTGTCGTTTAACATACGAGTACAATCTATTTGTACTATATTAAGCGGTACACATATCATTTGCTGTACACGAGTATGTAACACGTTATATGTTCTTAACGCAGATTTTGTGCAGATTGAAGGGTGGAACTGCCTACCTTCTTGTTTCTTTAGCATTTCAAATAAAGAGTTTGATTTTGCATATATGGGAGCTTGACTCAGGAGTGTGGTTTTTATGTTTTGTTTTTTAAATAGCACTCGCAAGAGAGCTAACCGGGCCCAAAGTTTTTAAGGTTTGTCAACGCATCAGCAAGCCATCGGGTGTTTTAGATCTACATGGGCGGCGGTATTTATTTATCAAATGTCTCATCGCTTTACAATTTTTAACATAAAAAACGGGAAAAATAATTGAATTTATTATACAAAACATTTAAAATTAAAGTTTGATCTTGAGTATGTAATAGAGTTAAGTTTTTGCAGCTAGTCTCGGAGACTAACTGTGGTACGACCACGCAGCAGCCTCGGCTGTTGCACGAATGGGCAGGCTGGTCCGGGTAAGTACTGCTTCTATTTCAGGCCGGTCTTCTGTGAGGTCGTGGTACTTCCCCGGACGGACCTGCCCATTCGTGCAACAGCATAGACTGTTGCGTGGTCCTGCCTGTTGTAACTGAATGTGTAAATTAATAAATAGTGATGGTCGATGTGGCTAAAATGACTTTTCAGGGTTTCCTCCTGGGTCTATCCGTCATCAGCGTCATGTCGATCCTGGGGAGCGTTTGGTTTGAGATCATCAAGCCACTGATTGTAAAGAAGAAGGTCAGAAAGGATATCATGAGCGTGACAGGTTCCACCAGCACCACCGACGTGGCAATTATATACAAGGACCATAAACTGTATGAAGACGATTTCGGCAAAGGTCAGAATTCGCCAAAGTGATTTGTCAACACTTGTTCTATTCAACTACAGAATTGTTATAAATGATTACGTATACGTCATCACATATTTCTTACTAGCTGCTGCCCGCTACTACGTCTGCGTAGAATAGGATGAAGGCGTAATATTCAGACAAAAAGACGTCAAAGTCGAAAGTTTTATTCTGATTTATAAGCTATATTATTGTAAAGTTTTATTAAAATCCATTCTAATGAAACTTTACAATCTTATTTAACTTCATTCGTAGTATTTGCGTGAAAGAGTTACAAACATCCATCCATCCATACAAACATTCGCCTTTATAATATAAGTAAGGATATCCTAAATTAAACTTAACTAACTACTCTATAACAAAACTATGATAATAGTCAAAAGTTTTGTTTGCTTGAATTTTTATGCTTTCACTGCAATTTCGATTTATCACAATTTGCTTGTTATGTGAATTCTATTAAATATATTTTATGAAGCATTTCCAGTGTTTTAATCGCATATTTTGCTGGTCACAGCATGTAAAACATCGTTCGGTGTGTAAACAATATTTGTTGATATATAACATTGTATAATAGCAAAAGGGAAATGGACGAAATCTAAATATATAGAATTCTCGTGTCACGGTGTTTGTAATTGAACTCCTCCAAAAGGGCTTGATCAATTTTCGTGAAATTTTGTGTGCGGCCAGGTTGGAGAATCTGACAGCATATTTTTCATCCCCCTAAATGTGTTAAGGGTGGTCCACCCCAAACATTTTTTTTTACCCTACAAATAATTTATATGACAAAACTGAAACAAGACATTAATGTTATTTTATAAAAAAAAATATAAAAGTTTAAGGATGACAGAGCCAAATTTTAGTTATACGAACCAATTTTCTTGTATATAAACCCCTTTCTACTTATAGTTAGCGCTAGGAAATTGACGATTTCCGACCGCCAGTTCTCAAATGGTCCCCAACGATGCATGGAATGCACGAGCGCTCCAAGTGTGGAATATAATGTTGGAGAGTAAAGGAAGCTAGTAGCTCAGTGATTGACGCAAACTGATACAATAACAATAAATGAAACGGGGGTTCAGCGTTTCGCTATATCTCAATTGGCACGTGTGAAGAATGCGCGGAATAACTGCGTGACGTCAGCATTACGTCATACGGAACTGCCTTCGTGGCTGTGAAATTCATTCTCGTATGGAGCTTCCATTTTTGACAACGAAAGGCACATCAACGTGTAAAATGGCAGACTTTTTAAACTGCACAGACAGAATTTAAAAGACGGAGAGACATTACTTTTGATAATTGACTGAGTACAGAAAATAAATCAAAGATATAATAGTTAGAGAGCTGGTAAGTAAAATTTCTATGTGATGCACACGTGGCAGACGTTATTAATATCAAACATTATACCATAAGAAACATATCCACCGCTTATGCCACTATAGTAACGCTACGATGTCTATTGAAAGCATTTCGATTTTTTTGAAGGTGTGTGTCAATCAATGTCACATATATATGACATTGATTGACTGGACTAAATCGATTCTTATTGATCTAAACATCAATACAGCAATGCTCGCCAGCTCCCTAATTACAACGTAGGATTTATATTTGTATTATATGTCTAGTCAAACTCAAAAAAAGACTCATAAATTCATCCGTCCTTATTGGCTTCACAAAGTCTCCGAATAATTTGAGACGTCAATATCAATATATACAGAATTTTGTTGTTGCTATTCTCAAATTTAATTTTCTTGGCAGGTGTTTAAAGATTGCGCGCGTCACGCAAGCGGCAATTAATGGTGTACCTTTATTATAATCAAATAGCGATTTTAGTTAATATGACTAAACTTGTCACTGATTTATGATCAATTCACGTCATCTTTCTTGTTTGTTGTTTCGACTTATTGTCTCAAGGATATGTACCTATAGAGAGATCTGATTTTGAAGCTGTTAAGATGAATAATGGAGTTAATTATATTTAAACACATGAACACCGTTATATTCAAGTGTGGATTGACTCATGGATTAAGTACACGCGAGATTTTTTTAAATACGTTGCGACTCTTAGTTATGCTTATTATATGTATATCGAGAGGTAGCGTCTACCACAGAAGAATAGATAGAATAGTAACGTTCTTGTCGTTAACGGTACAAAGGTACTGAGTGTGGTTATTTTTATAAGACAGAGTGGACGAAAAGTACAGGTAGGAGAGAAATATGGTCAGTAATCTTAAAGAAAGTTGGTGATGTACAAATGAACATTAAAGTTAACGATACGAAGACATGCTCGTACTATCAAATATTGAAAACGAATCTATTTTTTTCCAAAAACCTGCCAGCATTTGCCTAATATCTCACTTGATGCTAAATAAACATCTTAGATGGTACACGTAGCAGCTTTGTTATCAGATGTGGTAGAAGACTATGAAGTTTATTGGGATTATCCCCAATCTGGTCGAAGCGGAACATCTCCATAGTCGATTAAATGAATATTTAAGGTCTGCACGGGCATTCCTTTGGTTTCCATCGGTATGAAATTTTTAAGACGATAGTAAACTGCAGGAAATCTGTAACCCTATTACTGACTCTAGGAATTTGATCTTTACAGCTTAGAGTCATGCCAATAAGCTAACCGAAGTCTTTCATGTTTTATAGATGATAGGGATGTAAGAGTTGTGAAATAATATCAGTGTAACATTGTCTAAATCCACTTTACTGTAAGTACAGGTTAGGGACCTGTATATGACCCATTTGAACATGATAATAAATCTAAACGGTAATATCCTTATGGTCATTTTGTTTATATTTTCAGATTCTGAGTGAACTTATGAATGTTATTCATGTTTTGTGATGATTATTTGATTAGAGCTAGACCAATGTGACCGCACTACATATCTTATGAGTCACCGATAGTCCGTAGAGTGTCGATAGGCCAAATAATTGCCGACCCATTTATAAACTGTGCCGGGCGTTTGGAAACGCAGCGACATTCTACTGGGTATTTAAGTGACGTTGCCGGTAGAATAAATAAATAAATAAATATTTTTAGGACACATTTTTCACAACTTAATATATCCATAGTACTTATTTAGTTTGGGACTAGAGAACGTCTAGTTTTGTACGTCTATTTTTTTACTTTTGACCCTAGGTTTAGGTTCTGCACGGGACTAACCTAACAGACAGGCTGAAATGTAGATCCAGGATGAAGAATGTTGCTATATATAAAGAGCACTGAGCTGATGTGAAGCAACTCTTATAAAAGAAGTCTGCAGTTTGTGGGCAAAAATTAGAACGCCCTGAAGTTTAACAAATCAAGATCTTCCATCCTTCAGAAGTTATAAAACTTTCCATGATGATTGGACTTTACCACCCTGCTTGGGATCAAATAATTAATAAAATTAAATCTAAGCACACCAATACTGTAAGACTTCAAGATACTGTAAGCAAAAAAGTAGGGAATATGTATATCGGAATAAAGAAATTATTAAAAGTTGCCGAGACTAAATATGACATTTTGGTTGTATGTTGCCCATAGAATTTATTGTCTGGATTCTTTTCTGGAATATTTATATCATATATAGATTTTTTACTTTAAAGTAATTCGGAGCAGATTCAAACTATCAAAAAAATCTACCCCGACTACCCAGTCAGGTTAGCACAATGCAATGTTGCCAAAATGAAAAGTAACAAAATATCTATAGCAAAAATTTCGGTGCGGCAAAGTCCTGGTTTGCCTTGACGTGGGCATATAATTCAGCGCGACTACAGCAGTTTAAGACAAACACCACGTCTCACAGTTTAAATATAGCCGACGCTTCGCGGCCCGCAAAACTTTTGCGTTACACACGAAAATCGTAAGCCGTGACGTTGCTATAATAAACACGGCATTCTTCTTATGTGGCGTGAATAATTACATAAGTAATTAAACAACGGATAATTTTCATGAAATTTGTCGAGCACGCCAGAATCATCTCGTTGCGGCCATTGGAGGACCAATCGCCTAATAACCACCAAACGGATTTCGTAAGAGATGTTGGGAAAGCTCGAATTGTCAGTGTTAACTGTATTTACTAGTGTCTCTTTTATCTCTATTTTAGAAATAGCTGAAGATATTCGTGTATTTCTAAAATATTTATTAGACGGACAACAACAGTACATAGTATAAAGCGAAGACGTCCCGCTGTCTGTCTGTCCCTATGTATGCCCTATGGCCCTATGTATAGATCTTTAAAACTACGCAATGGATCTTGATGCGGTTTTTTTTACTAGTTAGAGTGATTCAATAGGAAGGTTTATATGTACAATACGTGCGGAGCCGGGGCGAGTCCCTAGTATTAATATTCGGTGAGTGCTAACAGTACTGTGCGAAAATTTCACGAGGGTCAACTAATATTAAACAAAAATATTTATTTACCTCTTTTCTCCATATTTCAGATTATGCTATATTCTGTTAAGAATTTTACCGTATCTTAAACATAACTATATTTCTTGAGATTTAATCTGGCTAGTTTTAAAATGCTAACTAACTAATTGCTAACTATTACTACCTATTGATAACTAATACAGACTCTCTGTGCTACAGACAGCTTAAATTATAAATAAATCTAAATTTATTAATTTGTATAAATTCATGTATAAACCATAGACTATTCTTAATACTTGTAACACTCGCGTTGGAAGTCAACCGTAAGATTTTAGATATATTGGCTTATAAGTGGTTAACGACTTGCATTCAAATTTGTACATTCGCACTGACTTCCAACCGTAACGGACTCGCATTCGAATACAAACCTAATTATTTTTAGTTGAAATTATATTAATATAACACCTTCAGAAGCGTTATCTCTCCTTCCTTGTTCTATCCTCAACACAGACATATTCATTGTTGCTGTTACGACACGTAAGTTGCGTTCGTTATTAATATAACGTAACGGGCGCCGTAATAAAAACGTTGCTGCAAACGAAAGCGATCGTAACGCATCTGGCGATCGGTCGAGGAGAAATCGCGTCACGCAAATAGAAAGGGCTCCGGCGTGCACGCACATTGGTGCCGTTCTAAATCCAGAAAGGGCCGCGTCAGTAGACCAGGAAGCGGAGACGGTCAAAGCAGTTTTTCGGACAAATGTTTTTGCTTTACTGCCAGGGATGAATCAGTACCCACGCTATTTAGAGTTACAGCGCTCGCCTGTGCGTATTTGTGCGATCGTGTGCTTGTGTGTGCGTCTGTCTGTGTGTGCTTGTTCAAGCTTGTAGCGGTAATTAACTTGTGACTTGTGTCAGAAGAGGGTTAATGGGCCGTCGGATTTGTCGACGTGTCATTTCGCCGGCCGGTTTGTTTATATACGGCGAACATTTGCGAGGCAAAGGACTATTAAGAAAAGAAATGTGAAATATAATGCAATGAAAAATAACCAATTTTTTACTAACGAAAAACAAAACCGACTTCAAATATCTCGCTCTGTATTCATTTTATAATTAATTTCGAGGAGTTCCCTAAGTATCTCCGGAGCCCAAGATACAATATCAATGAAATTAGTATGGGACACATGGGAAGCACCAGCTATCAAATAAAAAAAGGAATCATCAAAATCTGTTCACTCAATAAGTTCTGAGGTAACAAACATAAAAAGTACAGTCGAATTGAGAATCTTCTCCTTTTAAAGTCGATTAAAGAAACGTTTAATTGTTTTTGGATTCAATTCATTTGTTTAAATTTTCTGAGCAAGGAGTTTTAGGTTTAATTTATCTTAATTCAAAGTGTTATTGTGCTACAGTCTATTATTTGATTACACCCTTTTGTTCTCTATTTTAATTTTTTTTGTAAATTTCACCACCTCATAATTGTTTCGTGTGATTCTTCGTTAATGTTGCGTGCTATTTCTGTTCGGAACCATTTCTTCTCGTTTGGACAGAATCTTTAGCAGCACTAAATATTTCCGCATGCAAGATTATTTAGTACAAATCTTCTCTGAGGAGTCTTGTATTAGTTGCTGGGAAACTAGCCCACTCGTCT